CCTGGAGGTTTATATCAAGGATAGTCGACAGCAATTTTCCATTGCCCCTGGGACGAGAACAAGAGGAAATCACTAATGTGGAATGAAAATGCTCACTTGCAATCATGTAGGCAGTCACTGTCTCCAAGGATGCCAAATGCTTTTAAATATAAGTCATCTTAGATGGCAGATGGAGAACCAGCAGACAGTGTCTCTCCTGGACCAAATGCAGGTGCTGTGTGTATCATGGTCACCCTCCTGAACTATCTTTCCTCCATAACCAACATCTTTCCTGTAGTGACTCAGTATTTTAAACTCTAGGCAATGTATGGATTTGGCTGCTTCTACAAAATGTCAACCCTTGGGTAGAAGGAAACATGTAACAGTTACTTTGGAGGGGGTATATCACGTCCCAAACCCAGCCCTGTTCACTTATCACCAGTTGAAACTTTTCAGACGCTCCCTGAACACTTTAGTGGACTTGTCTGCAGCCCTCTCACACTGAAATCCACAATGGCGTTCTCCCCTTCTGCTTCAACCTCTGCTTTTGCTCCTGTATTTCCAGTTTCTGGTTTTTGGCACCATTATACACATTCTTGATGAGGTCCAAAACCCAAGGTACAGCCAAGATTTCTTCTCCATCATTTCTTGCATCTGATGTAACTGAAGTGATTCTCTTTCCAAACATCCCTTGCACACAGTATCTTCCCTCTACATTTCTCGGAACACAACCTTAGTCCTGACCTTCCACGTTTATCACCTGCATGATCGCAATCCTTTTCTCACAGATTTATCCACTTTCAGTCTTATTTAATTTAACAGGCACCCGATGATCATCACCTAGGTGCCAGACACATGTACCGGTGCTGGGGACACATCAGGGAGCAATCTCCCTCTCACAGCTTCTACTTTGGTGGTAGATGTAAATGAAAACTAAGTAGACAAACAAGTAAAAGACTAGGTGTTGTGAATGAAATAAGGGAATTGCCTTAGGATGACTGACATGTTAGGGAGGGGCACTATGAGGTAACAGATAAGCTAAAATCATAAAGAAAAGGATCTAGTTACACAGAGAACGGGGCGGAAAAGCATGTCAAATGGAGGGAAAGGTCTGTGTTATTCATTCAAAACTTGCTGTGCATGCAAAGACACCGAAGGGAGAAAATCCTTGGCCTTAAGGAATCAAAGATGACCACTGTGGCTGGTGGGAGCACAGGAGGAAGAGATGGGAGCAGAGCAGGGTGAAGATAGAGAGCCGTCCTGTAGCCAAAGCACACTCGGCCTTAGAGGTCAGTCTCCCGCGTGACAGCCTGACAGAGAAGGCTGCCGTGCAAATCAGATCACCACGCTCCTCTTAAATGTCTTCCTCCCATTACCGATGCAGTAACATACCAATTTTTTGTGATAATATTCAGGGACCTTCCTGGTCCAGATGCTGCTTGTGTTTCTTGCCTTGTGTCCTAAAACAACTCACACCCACATGCAATGTCTGTGTCCCGGCTGTGCCTCCTTTCCATGTGGTTTGTTCCATGCTTTCTCCTCCAGTGGGAAAAAAGCTCCTTCTCTGTGTGATGACCACTCTTCCATCCTCTCAACTCAACATAAGTTTTCAAGGAAGAGTTAAAATATTGTTTTCTGTTGTTTCGCAGCCATCTGTATTGAAATCATGAGATCTGGTACCTCTCCCCCTGCTCTCCATCCTAGGAGCTTTTGAAGATATTAGAGTCTGGTCTTCTGTGTGCTGTAGTCGCAGTGCCTGACACAGAGCTGGCACTCACTACATGTTGAAGGCAGGAAGGCAGTTAGTTTTGTGTAAATGGACTGGAACAGGATATATGACATTCTTCTGATTCTATTTAGTTTACTATTTCATCTGTATTTTTTAAAATAAAATAAAATTCCACAAGGTGACAAAGCTGTAATCTTAGCAAGACTGAAGTGTCACTGACATCTAGAAAACTACAATGCCTGGTGGTCTCTAAACTACTTATAGGTACTTTTAGCCCCACCAAAAGAACAGTATACTTTCGAATAATCGGGTACTTCATTTTGTTTTCCAACATGTGCAGTCCTATTTCTTTGTATATCTCAGCTATTCCTTTGCTCATCAATGCCAAAAATATTTATTGTGTGCTTATGATGCATGTGCTGTCATAGAGTGACAGAAATAACATTTTTAGGAAAGAAAATGGCAGCAATAGATACATAATGTGAAAGAGAGACAAATGATTTGGAGAAAATGATAAACAGATGAGAATTTCTTTTTGAGCCATGAGAAAGGAATATTTTCTTCTCTAAGTGAATACACCATCTTTCTGGTTTCTACTTCATCTTCTTGTGAGTTTGGCAAGTGCAAGTTAATGCCTCTGGTCTTCGTGCACTGACGAGAATGAATATATGACCAAAAAACTAAAGAACAGCCTCTGAACTGTGGTCATTTCGCCAGAGCTGATCTGCTGCGAGGCCTTGCCTGGCTGCCAGCTGGTCTTCCCCAGTCACATTTCGCTGTAGCCCCCTCCCCCCCACACACATTAAAATAAACCTTTTAGGACAACATCAGCACAGGGAGTCCTTTCAGCCAGGTTGACAACACAAGGCCAAGTGCATTCCATTCACTGCCAGACACGGTTTCAGAGTGAAGTATAACTGACACGGCCTAGGCTCCTCATGACCTTCAGATGCCAGTGTCAGTCAATGATTCTAAAGGAACACGGAGCTCTGGTCAGAGTGCCATGTTCATCTGGAATGCATTACGACGTTGAGAAATGGAAGGGACATGATTTTTTTAGAATTTAGAAACCAGCTCTGGTGTATCATAGAGGTGCTTGAGGAAGGAAAAAGAACTGAAATAGTTCCCATGAGGCCTAGAAGTCTGTGATACTGTAACTAGCATTCATGGTGCTGAAGTGGAAGTTCACTTCTGCATTTTGGAAGCATGTTCTTGACTAGGCTAGAATATTGGAAGAAGTTTCAGGGAACTAATCTCTTACTCAACTCATAATGAGCATTCAATTCTATAAGGCGGGAACACCAGTGGAAGAAAGTTTATGGTCCAGAGCTGGCCACTGGACTACCATGTAGCTGAAATGACTCTTAGCCACATGGCAACCTAGCATGTTGCAAGCAGGACACACTTGACCAGAACAAAGACTGAGATGCTGTGGACACTGAAAACTCATACCTTGGGTGGGATGTATTGTGGTGACGAAACCAATCACACCTGGGTCTCAGCAGGCTCATGGAAAGCATTATTGTTCAGGACCAGACTCTTCTATAATTCCCAAAGACAGGGATCTAATTTCAATGACTAAAAGGTTAGTCCCTTACCAAAAGATCACAAACTCTGCTGCACAGATTTGTTTTGCTTTCCCATTTTTTTTTTTTGTTTGCCTTAGCATCACTACCTTCTGATTTGACTTTATCAGAAACTCAGTTTTTCCAGAAGACCGATCTAACCTTAGATTCTTCTAAAGTTACTAAAGAATCCCACTCTAATTTTGGTGACCAGCCTTTTAAAACATTCTCCACTCCAAGCTCAAATCAATTATGGCAACACTGTCTGAGGTTTAATATTCATGCTATGTTTTTAGTTCTGCTATTTAACTTAAATATTAAAAATAGCTTAGTTGACTTCTCTGTCATTCAACTTAGGATATTTTTAGTTTTTCATGTAATTTTAAATTTTGAAATACAGCACAATTTTAATCCCTTATCAAAGTTCCTTTTAAAGGAAAAGTTGTATGTGAAAGCATCTTAAGTGTCTTGTAGGTCAGAACTTAGGGGAGTTGTTGCCAAGCAGCAGAGGGAAATAACTCTGAGCAACGTGAACAGAGACACAGAGAGAGGTGTGACTTTAGAGAGTTTTTGCTCGTAAAGCCAGGCTAAAATCTACTGAAACCATCTAAGAGATTGTATTACCACTCAGAAAATATTGCAAGTGACAAGTCAAAATAAAGATTTATACTTGATTGACTTCTGAGAAAGGAGAGCACTGTTTTCATTCGAGATGCAGATTTCAGAAAGCTACACTAGCTTTGGGTCCACTTTTCTCAAGCCTCAGAAAACTATATACATAAAATTTCTTCTCTGTAAATGCCTTTTATTTAAAACTGAGCCAAAGATAACCAAGCAGAAACAATGTCATTTGAAAAAGAAATAGGCTGAGAAACTATGACATAACCCAATGGTTGAAGGAAAGTGTTTCTTCACAGACATAGTCCAGCTAACAAAAGAAAATGATCTAATTAGTAGATCATTATTTTTCAAGCTACTAATGAAATAATGAAATCTAGGCAGTGATCATTAGTGCCCATTACCATTATAGATATCCAGATATGATCTACTTCTTTATGGAATATACAATGGCATCTACGAGGCATTCTAGCCCCACTCAGAGTATGTCTCTAGATCCATCTATCAATTTATAGGAAGCAGGGGACAGAGGAACATGATAAATAAATGCATGGCCATGCAAACAGCAAAATTTATTAATAAAATGTGGGAAACTCCATAGGACAAGGGATCTGTCTTCTTCAAGAAATAAATGACAAAGAGGGAAAAAAGGAGGAAAGAAATCTCTAAATTAAAAGAAACTTGAGAACAAAGAATGCATGGAATTTGTTTGGGTCCTAATTCAAACTATAAATGAACAAATAAATTATTGAGTGTGCATATAATTGTGGAAAGTGGAACTACATATGTGATGATACTGAGAAATTGTTAATGTTTTAAAAGGTATATTAGTGGCGTGTTGTTTGAAAAAGTATTCTTACATTTTAGCAATTAGTAATAATGCTTTTTAACAGATGATTTTATAAAATGTCTAAGATTTGTTTCCCAATGATCTACTTGGTTGGTAGGAGGAGGGTGCTTTAGATGAAATAAGACTGAGTAGACAGTTGTATAGCTGGGTACTGGGTACATGGACTCATCATATTCTAATTTCATATATGTTTGAAATTTTTCATAATAAGATGTTTTTTAAAATTAAAAACTTTTAAAAAAATATAGAAAGAACTTACCTTGTTGGATATCCTTCATTTCTAAATGTAAACTAGATATCAAGATTCCGACAGTTTGAGATCGTTTTCCATCCAATAACTTGATGATCTGGAATTGAAAAATAAATAATAAATAAATATAGCTCAAACACGCAATCTTTCAGAAAGCATACCAAAGTATTAAGATCTTTTACATACACTGATGAACTAAACTGATGCTATATGCACTCTAAATAATACTTAATAGAAAGTTACTTATCGGGCGGTACCCGTAGCTCAGTGGGTAGGGTGCTGGCCACATAAACGCCGAGGCTGGCAGGTTCGAACCCACCCCAGCCAGCTAAAACAACAATGGCAGCTGCAACAAAAGGCATAGACAGGCATTGTGGTGGGCACCTGTAGTCCCAGCTACTTGGGAGGCTGAGGCAAGAGAATTGCTTAAGCCCAGGAGTTTGAGGTTGCTGTGAGCTATGATGCCACGGTACTCTACCCAGGGCGACATAGTGAGACTCTGTCTCAAAAAAAAACAAAGTTATGTATTATGACATTTTACAAAACTAATACCACACAAAATTCCATTAGCCTAATATGAACACTAAAATCTTAATATTTTACTCTTTTTATTCAAATACATGTTAACAAGGTTGTAATGACAACATAGTATGCAACAGCATATCAAACTTTGTCATTTAGCATTGCAACAGTTTCCATGCTGCTACTGATTATGTCACTTCACAGTCTCCAATCTTTCAGTAATGTCATCTGCTGGGGTGATTTAGGGGAAAAAACCTTTGGATCTTAGTCAACCATTTACCAGTGATATGGCCTTGGAAAACCGAAAACCTATAGGAATTAGACCTCACAAGGACCTCTTTATCATGCAGTAGAACTGACTATATTTAGTTTATGCATTTATTTTAGAAATTAAATGACAATATATGCAAAGCACCCAATACAGTGCTTGACCTGTATTTATTTAAATGAATAAAATTTCCCCATTTCAAAGGTTGCTTCCTGTTTGTCTTCTTATTACCTATAACATAACGCTTTGTACACAAAGCTTTAAGTCATTTAAACTCTTTTTATAATATGTACACATATCAAAACATTTACAGCCTTTTTAGAAATTTCATATATTTCACTGTCAATATTTCAACCTTTATGAATATCTCATGGAAAGGTCTACATAGTTTTGTGTTTCTCTGAACCTAGTAAGCTAAATCAGTTCCTAATAACATATCACACAGTGGCCACCAAGGGAAAAAAGTATCTTTTGTGTCATGCAGCAGAGTAACAAAATTTAATAGGAAGTATACACCAAGCATCACTAACTCTTATAAATATCTTTAATGGACTTTTCTGGGTAAAATATGAACTAAGCTAAACAGCAACGCTTCCTCTCCCAATTAGGCCCTTAAAGACTTGGCAAAATATAATGAAGGCAAGACTTCACAGTAACTAACATCTACATCTCCCTTTGTACTACACTAGCTGGCTGAATGATAAGAGAAAACAAAAGCTTGTTCCAATTAAAATTATCTAATAGTCTATGTTGTCTAACTACCCATTTATTGCTTGATCCTGAGTCAATTATTGCCAGCCACTTTTTTCTTTCCCTGTTCAAAGTGGCCACTTCCATATAAGACTGCAAATGTAGTAAATATTAAGCTTTAACCAAGGTATAAGGAAAACCTGATCTTGCAGTGTTTAAGTTATTTCAACATTTTCCTTAGAGAAAGATTCTTGGGGGATACAGGCTATCTGGAGTTTTATAGACAAAAACAGAAGGTACCTGGTATCACATATTTTTTATATGATAGTAAAAGCAAAAAAGATGAAACACAATCAAATATCTTCTTTAAATGCTATTTCTGGCTTTTTTTTTTTTTTTTAGATACAGAACTTAGATACAGTCAAATGATTTTTTCTTTTTTTGAGAATAGTCCCAAGCTGTCACCCTGGACAGAGTGCCATAGCGTCATAGCTCACAGCAACCTCCAGCTAGGGCTCAAGCAACTCTCTTGGCTCAGTTTTTCTATTTTTAGTAGAGACAGGGTCTTGTGTTTTGCTTAGGCTGGTCTTGAACTCATGAGCTCAAGAAATCCACTCTCCTCAGCCTCCCAGAGGGCTAGGATTATAGGCGTGAGCCACCATGCCTGGCCTAAAGTCAAATGATTTTTAAAAGTCCAACAAAAAATTTAAAAAGTCCAAATTCGTTTTATGCAAATATTCAGCCATATAGTCATTCATTAAAAAAAATTTTTCTGTGCATCTATTACATGCCTGGCATTGATCTGGACTCTGGGGATGCAGAGATGACTGTGATAAATCAAGTCCTAAGAAGTTTGTAGCTCAGTGATTTAAAAAAAGAAAAAAAATCTCTGTGGTAAAAATGTTGTAAAGAGTCAAAATCATCACCTACACTGGAGAGAAAACGCAAAAGAAGAAAGGGTTTGGGAACTGGCCAGATTTATTCTTAGGTGTCCAGGACAGTAGAGACTGATACAGTCATGGCCGTGGCAATGTCAGTTCAGTGTCAGGTAGACAAGCACAAGTATCAAATGTATGACCAGATCTCAACTGGGTTGCAGGCATTTCTCAAATCAACATGTTGATGCTTACCTGTAACATATTCTGCCTGTAAGAACAGTGTTCAAATGCAAGTTTTTCTGTTAGCTAACAGAAGAAAGTGAGGAAGAGACCACAAAAGAAGAAAAAGAGTGACAGATCCTGATTCTATTTGTCCCTGGGTAAAATCAAACAAATCCATCCCCATTTCATTATTCCATCAGCTCGAACTGTAAACCATTCTTGGAATTTTGTACAATGATGTGGTGTGGCAAGTGTTTGGTGAGTGTTACCTTTAGCTGGAGTAATGCCTTAAGAGCTTTTTCCTGAAATGTGGTGCTGCCTTCAAAAAGGAGGTAGGCAGGGGTGAAGTTAAAGCCTTTGTATTCTTTTCTCTATCTATACCAAATTCTCTATTTCTAACTAGACTATCAAAAATATCCTTCTAAATTTCCCTGTGCCACTCTATAATTATGAAGTGATACCAAGTTCTCAGAACCAACTAAATGGAACTAAATGGTAGAAACACAATGGACACCAAATTGCATATCCCAAATCTTTTAGTTTCTCCTCTTTTCTTTCTCCCACAGATTCAAAGGCTTAAAACTAAGTTTTCATTATTACTGTGAAAAGTACATAATATGAAATGAACCCTATTAACAAATTTTTAAATGTACTGTGTGGCATTGTTAACCATAAGCACAATGTTATATAGCAGATTTCTAGAACTCAGATTTCTTCACTGAGACTTTATGGGTTCCTCTTCTCCTAACCCCTGGAAGCCACCATTCTACTTTTGGTTCCTTTGAGTTTGACTCCTGTGGACACCATATATAGATGAAGTCATGCAGTATTTGTCCTTCTGTGAATGGATCATTTTCATTTAGCACAATGATCTCAAGGTCAATGAAAATGACAGACTTTCCTTCTTTTTATAGTTGAAGAGTATTCCACTGTATGTACAGACCATATTTTCTTTATCCACTCTTCCATCAGTGGACATTTGAGTTGTCTCAAGGCTACTGTGAATAATGCTGCAATGAACATGGAAGTGCAGACATTGCTTCCAGATCCTAATTTCAATTCTTTTACATATATACCCAGAAGAGGGATTGATATGGTTGCTCCATTTTTAACTTTCTAAAGAACTTCTAGATGGCCACACTATTTTACATTTCCAATGGTGTACAAGGGTCCCTATTTTTCCAGATCCTCACCAAAACTTTATATTTCCTGTTTTTTTTTTTTTTTTTTTGATAAAAGCCTTGCTAATAATAGATACAAGGGAATCTCTCCTTGTGTTTTCAATTTGCATTTCCATGGTGACTAGTGATGCTGAGGATCTTTTCTTATACTCCAATGCTTTTTAACCTTTTTTTTTTTTTTTTAATCTCACAACACACTTGAAACTATGGTTAAACTATCATGGCACACTTAAATTATGTTGATCAAAAAATTGAGTGAAAAAAAGAACATACTTACTGCATTTTAAACTTCTGTCAAAAATAACTAATGATCTTTAAAAATTTTCATGGCACACTGGTTGAAAACCACTGCTATACCTGTTGGCCATTTGTGTGTCTTCTTTGGGTTATCTCTTTTTTTAGCCCATTTTTAATTTTTTAAAAACAAACCTAGTTGTAAAATTTCTTATATATTTTGGATATTAATCCTTTATCAGATATATGGTTTGCAAATACATACTATTTCCTCATAGTCTATAGTTTGAATTTTCATTCTATTGATTGTTTCCTTTGCTTAGCAGAAGCTTTTTGGTTTTATGTAGTCCCACTTATTTATCTTTGCTTTTGTTGTCTGTGCTTTTCATGTCATATCCAGGAAATAAATGCTGAAACCAATTTTAAGAAGCTCTTCTCCTGTTTTCTTCTAGGAGTTTTACAGTTTCAGGTCTTACATTTAAGTCTTTAATCTATTTTGATTTCATTTTTGTGTATACTGTAAGATAGGGTTCTATTTCCTTCATGTGAATATCCAGTTTTCCCAACACATTTGTTGAAAAGATCCTCATTTCTCCATTATGTAGTATTGGCACCCTTGTCACAGAACATTGATTGAAATTCACATATTGAACCATCTTTGGACTCCATGTATAAATCCCTCTTAATCATGCTGTGCATGTCCCTTTTAATGTATTGATATTACCTTAGTATTAGTAGTATAATATTACTAGTATTTTATTGAGAATTTTTACATTTATTTTCATCAAGCATATTGGTCTGCAATTTTCTTGTACTATCTTTGGCTTTGGTATCAATAATGCTGGTCTCACAGAATGAATCTGGAAGTGTTCCCTCTTCTTTAGTTTCTAGAAGAGTTTGAGAAGCCTTTCTGTTAACTCTCCTTGAAATGTTTGGTAGAATTCTCCATTGAAGCCATCTAGTCCTTGTCTTCTTTCTATTGAGAAGTTTTTAATAATTAATTTAATCTCCTAACTAGTTATAGGTACATTCAGATTTTGAATTGCTTCATGATTCAGTCTTGGTAGGTTGTACATTTACAGGAAATGATTCATTTCTTTTG